TATAGGAAATAAATTTTTTATTGGTTCTGCGATTGAATCTGATTGACATACATGCAATCTGTTATGAGATAATTTGGCTTAAAAAGGGTCTGATTTCAGTAAGTAAAAAGACTCCACTTGTCACTGGGCAAGCATAGTGGATGGTTGCATTTTAAGTGAATTCAGATTGTCAAGTTTGACGTTAAATGTTGTTTCAGGCTCAAAATTCTATAACATTGTGATTCAGGCTAAAATTGAACAGCTAATTGCACTTTATGTACTCGCCCATCCCACCAAAATATATATCTGTCAATTTCTCCTCAAAGGCAAAAAGTTTCGCATTGCCTTTTTCATTTCAGAAAAGTGTAGCAATGTGTCTCAGACCCAGATGGCGTTGGGCTTTTCATCTATGAAGTCATCATAGTTGCACTTTTTCCCCTTAAATTTTCATTAGTTATCCTTTGGATCTTTGCCCAATGAAAAATTAACTGTCTTAATGTTCTTAGAAACAAAAAACTCACGCCATATGGTTGTGGGGCACCTGATACACTTTTGAAAAATTAAAGAAACAATTGAGTTTTTGTCGTTGAAGGGGCAAATTGCAACTTTTAAAATATTTGGCATGCATTACAAGCATGGGAATGACTTCTGATCAGAGGGTGGGATTTTTAATAATGAATCAAAACCAAGAGAAAAAAGAAGATAAAACTATGTGACGAGAGTTATGTTTATGGCCACCCTTAATTCTCTTAAGATTCTCTCAATTAAGAGGTCAATTGTGCTTCTATTGTGCCCCCTCTTTGGGTTTTCTATTGTGCTTCTCTTCACCTTTTTGTGGTGCTTTCTCTTCTACTATAGATGCATTGTTATAGATCATGTACTTGATTGTTCAATGTAAATAGTGACATAGCAGTATATGTAAAAAAGCATGTATCCTCTGATATCAATTCCTCGTAATTCTTTGATTTAAATGTTTTGTCATTCTGGCTGGTGATCAAGGATATGCTTATTTGATGTCCTCTCTTTCCAGATTTATCTTCTGCCGTTCCGTGCTTACTCTATTTTGCCCCTGGGAAGAGAGTGAGCAATATTTGCCTGTTTGCTTACCCGAACTTCCCAGATCTGTCTCCCCAAATTCCAAAGCTGTGCAGTCAGCAATCCTCCAGCTTGTGAAGCACTTGAGTGTCGATGACTGTTTTCACTTCAAGGACTTGTAGCAAAATACAAGGCCCCAAAGTTATACATTAAAGTCTGATTTTTTAGAGTGCCACCTTTCACAGATAAGCAGTTGCATTGGCTTCATGGGACTAAAAGTAGGAGAAGATTAACAGCTGGCATTTCAGTGGACTTAAAGAAGGTTAAAAGTTGGAGTTTCACTAATTATCATGTGCGTCCCACAATACAAGGATTGTTTTCGGTTCTAGGTTGGTATAGTTTTTTTGTATCGCCTCCAGAAAATCCCAACATCTATCTAGTTTGTGTGCATAATATAAAGATTATTGCTGTTCCAGTTGGATGGCTTCTGATGCTGGGTTTGTTCGTGCATGAGGGCTTCATTGGTGAATTGTGCATAGAGCTTACTTGGCTTATTGTTCTGTTTGTTATAGTTGCTACGGAATTATTCATAATTTGTTCATATCTTTGTATAATGGCAGCAGCTGGCTGAATGATGTGTTTTTGTATGCACTCGCCCTTCTATTATGGTGGCATTGTTGCTAATATTAATGCGCATGATACTTCAAAGGTAGATATGCAAATGATTGTTAAAAGCGTAGGAATAAGCTTACTGAGGTGAATAGATCCTTACACATTGGCCTCCGGAATATATGTTTTAAGTGTGCTGATATTGGTGTTTTACACCATATAATCTCACGGCTCCTTGGAAGTTATCTATCAACACAATGAGCAATGAAATAGCTGCAATGCTACTGCTTTATTCATGGATTAGCTGACTGGTATTAATGGTGTAGTAGTAATGCTATTGCTATAGTCTCTGAGTAGTGGTTTGGTAATGAAAGATGCTAGAGTTGCTGCCTTAGTTGAGTGTGAGTTCCAAATGAAAGCATAATATCCAGAAGCCATTTGTGCTCAACTTTGATTGTTATGCAAGTTATGTATTGCTGCTATATGCTACTGGGTGTACAGAGTTGAGGCTTCTGTCTACAGATAATGTTGGCTTGAGGATTATTTTCTAAATCTGAGAGGCCTTGGTGTAATATACTCATAATATTATATGTAATAAAAGTATATGTCAAAAATCCTTTCTAAAATTGTTCTCAATTTTTGATTAAATTTCAGATATTATAAAATTATAGGTCAACCCTAGAAAATAAATAAATAAAGGAGGCTCTAAATCTATTTTTACTATAATTCTGACTCTATTTGATGCAATTCTCGATTTCTCATAATTGAGGGTGTCAAATTTATCTATTAATTTAATAAGTAATATAAATAACACGAATTAAAAATAATACTATTAAAATTGATATAATACGAAAATAATGACACCTCGCCAACAATGCCTAACATATTCCAGCGTTGGCAAAAGGGCCATTAAAACAGAAAAATTTTGGGACACCCCAGTAAAATCCCATTAAGCCAAGGGCTTCTGAAGTAAACAACGACTTAAATTAATCACGCTTACCTTAAATTGACACCACCACCACCACCACCATTAACACCGAACTCATCATGTAAAGTACACACATCGGACATACCATCCAATAGGAATCAAGAATTGAGGCCTAGCGATCCGACTCTAAACCCCAACTTCGCATCCGAGCCGTCAACTTCAAGTCCAGGAAACACAACTGATCCCATTAACCACCGTCGATACAGTTACTTAAGAAAACACACGGATTATGAATCTTAACCGTCCGATCCGCTTAATCGCCGACTCCTTCACGCTATTTATATACAGACACCCATCCTCTTCACAGGTTTTCGGAAAACGAACTTCTTCATTGTGGAGAGAACGGGAAGAGAGTTCTTTGTCTCGTCTGAGAGGTAAGGCTTCCTTTCTATTACCATATTTACTATGTGTATATATGTATATGGATATATGGTTTACTTTGTGCGTACATGTTTGTCCGTATGAGTCTACATGTCCAATTAGGGCTTAGGTTTGTGGAGATTTATGCTTGGTAGAATATCTAGGGCTAGGGTTTGTCTGGAGTTTTTATTATATGAAATTGATAATCAACTTATGTTTTTTTATGCCTTTCCTTCTGTGAATCTTTTGAGTGGGCGTATCTTAGAGTTTCGATACTTGATATTTGGGGTTCCTTGAAGTTGTAATTTGTTATAGATGCGCATCATTGGTTTAGATTTTTGAGCAATAAGCTCATTTAGTCTTCCTCAGAATTTGGGAATATTGGTGGTGGTAATTTCTTAACAATCAGTATCGATTTTTGGTTGATATTTTTGTTATTTTTGGTTATTTACAGATGGCTCGTACCAAGCAAACTGCTCGTAAGTCTACCGGAGGGAAGGCTCCTAGGAAGCAACTCGCTACTAAGGTTGATCTCTCTCCCTTTCCCTCTCTGTTTATATTATTTATCTCATGAAACTTCGTAAATATGTTTGTGCATTAATGGATGCATATTTTTTGGGTTTTTTAATTGGTGTTTCGGTTGAATTTTTGATTTTTAGGCTGCCCGTAAGTCTGCTCCCACTACCGGAGGAGTGAAGAAGCCCCACAGATACCGCCCTGGTACTGTTGCTCTTCGGTGAGTGTTTTGATGATATTGTGATGCACAACACTTCATACTTGCATTCTACGAATATTGTGTTTTGAATGCCGGGTTAATAATTTGTGGTAACCAATGCCATGCAGTGAAATCCGAAAGTATCAGAAGAGTACTGAGCTTCTGATTAGGAAACTCCCATTCCAGAGGCTTGTCCGTGAAATTGCCCAGGACTTCAAGGTAGATTGGAAATAATGGGTTTTGTTTGTTGTGTTCTGCTTGTAATGATTTTTTTTTCTTTTAATATTATGGTTGGCTTATAAGTTCTGGAGCTTTAACCTGTTTGCAATTGTGGTGTCCTCTTTTTTGTAGACTGACCTGCGTTTCCAGAGCCATGCAGTGCTGGCACTGCAAGAGGCTGCTGAGGCATACCTTGTGGGATTGTTTGAAGACACCAACCTTTGTGCAATTCATGCAAAGCGTGTGACCATCATGCCCAAGGACATCCAGCTGGCTAGGAGGATCAGGGGCGAGCGTGCTTAATTTGACAATGTTGTGGTGCTGGCTTGGTTGGATTAGATGGTGGTGTTTTTTGGTTTTCCTGTCTCTGTTTAGTAATATAGTAGATAGGTGGTACTGAAGTTTAGTAATGATTAGTGGTGTTAGATGGTTTATGGAATCTGGAATTGGTGTGCTGTAATCTGCTGTTTGTTCTGGAAAATGGAAAGGCTGGCTGTGTACTATTTTCTTTGGTGAACTCTCTTTGTTGTCAGCAATTGTGTTGAAAACAATCTTTTACTGTTTGGGCTGTGGTTGATTTGTTCTACTTAATTCACTTATCGTTTCACCTCTTTATGTTTGGGTTCTTATTTGTTTGTTGAATTTTAAATTGTCCATGGCAAAGAATGAATGTTTTTTTTTGGGTTATGCTTACGAAGTTGTATATTATGTGAACCTCGAATTGTTGTCCTTTGGAATATGTCTGGTTGCTTGATGCTTTGGTTTTATGGGGCATGTGGATGAATACTTCCTTGCAAGCCTTTTTACATGAATGCTTTCAAAGTGATCAAAGAGATGGCTTTTGAAGCCAATTCTGGGTATTGGTGTCTACCTCTTGCAGGCTGTCAAGCTTATTTAAGTGTAGAGATGAGGCAATCAGCTGCAAAGAAAGTTATTATGGCATTGGAACAGAAGAATTATGGGGATTGTGTTATGTTGTCTAATTTATATGCTGCAGCAGGTATGTTTAGAGCAAACATAAGAATGAGTGGTTTGATCATTTGATGAAAGACTAGGTGTTACGAAGCAACCTGCATATTGGAGATTGAGAAAGTAATGTGCATTTTGCGTGGGAGATACTTCTCATTCCGATATTGGGGAGATTCATTTGGTGCTCAAGCTGGTGAAGTAACAATTGAAAGCCATGAATGGCATTGCCAAAATGNTTTTAATATTATGGTTGGCTTATAAGTTCTGGAGCTTTAACCTGTTTGCAATTGTGGTGTCCTCTTTTTTGTAGACTGACCTGCGTTTCCAGAGCCATGCAGTGCTGGCACTGCAAGAGGCTGCTGAGGCATACCTTGTGGGATTGTTTGAAGACACCAACCTTTGTGCAATTCATGCAAAGCGTGTGACCATCATGCCCAAGGACATCCAGCTGGCTAGGAGGATCAGGGGCGAGCGTGCTTAATTTGACAATGTTGTGGTGCTGGCTTGGTTGGATTAGATGGTGGTGTTTTTTGGTTTTCCTGTCTCTGTTTAGTAATATAGTAGATAGGTGGTACTGAAGTTTAGTAATGATTAGTGGTGTTAGATGGTTTATGGAATCTGGAATTGGTGTGCTGTAATCTGCTGTTTGTTCTGGAAAATGGAAAGGCTGGCTGTGTACTATTTTCTTTGGTGAACTCTCTTTGTTGTCAGCAATTGTGTTGAAAACAATCTTTTACTGTTTGGGCTGTGTGGTTGATTTGTTCTACTTAATTCACTTATCGTTTCACCTCTTTATGTTTGGGTTCTTATTTGTTCGTTGAATTTTAAATTGTCCATGGCAAAGAATGAATGTCTTTTTTTTGGTTATGCTTACGAAGTTGTATATTATGTGAACCTTGAATTGTTGTCCTTTGGAATATGTCTGGTTGCTTGATGCTTTGGTTTTATGGGGCATGTGGATGAATACTTCCTTGCAAGCCTTTTTACATGAATGCTTTCAAAGTGATCAAAGAGATGGCTTTTGAAGCCAATTCTGGGTATTGGTGTCTACCTCTTGCAGGCTGTCAAGCTTATTTAAGTGTAGAGATGAGGCAATCAGCTGCAAAGAAAGTTATTATGGCATTGGAACAGAAGAATTATGGGGATTGTGTTATGTTGTCTAATTTATATGCTGCAGCAGGTATGTTTAGAGCAAACATAAGAATGAGTGGTTTGATCATTTGATGAAAGACTAGGTGTTACGAAGCAACCTGCATATTGGAGATTGAGAAAGTAATGTGCATTTTGCGTGGNACTCTCTTTGTTGTCAGCAATTGTGTTGAAAACAATCTTTTACTGTTTGGGCTGTGTGGTTGATTTGTTCTACTTAATTCACTTATCGTTTCACCTCTTTATGTTTGGGTTCTTATTTGTTCGTTGAATTTTAAATTGTCCATGGCAAAGAATGAATGTCTTTTTTTTGGTTATGCTTACGAAGTTGTATATTATGTGAACCTTGAATTGTTGTCCTTTGGAATATGTCTGGTTGCTTGATGCTTTGGTTTTATGGGGCATGTGGATGAATACTTCCTTGCAAGCCTTTTTACATGAATGCTTTCAAAGTGATCAAAGAGATGGCTTTTGAAGCCAATTCTGGGTATTGGTGTCTACCTCTTGCAGGCTGTCAAGCTTATTTAAGTGTAGAGATGAGGCAATCAGCTGCAAAGAAAGTTATTATGGCATTGGAACAGAAGAATTATGGGGATTGTGTTATGTTGTCTAATTTATATGCTGCAGCAGGTATGTTTAGAGCAAACATAAGAATGAGTGGTTTGATCATTTGATGAAAGACTAGGTGTTACGAAGCAACCTGCATATTGGAGATTGAGAAAGTAATGTGCATTTTGCGTGGGAGATACTTCTCATTCCGATATTGGGGAGATTCATTTGGTGCTCAAGCTGGTGAAGTAACAATTGAAAGCCATGAATGGCATTGCCAAAATGGTTTCTGCGTGAAGCTGTGTTATCTGAACACATCTCCAAGGATGCATATGATTTGACAAAGGAAGGAAAACTGCCGTGGAAGGTCTCTTGTGAGGTTAATGTGCTGGATAGCATGATTTGAGGCATGCCTGTGAATATGTAAGGAGAGATATAAAAAGGATGAATCCACTGTGCCCTTCAATCAAAACGAGAGAGAGAGAAAGAGAGAGAGAGNAATGTTGTGGTGCTGGCTTGGTTGGATTAGATGGTGGTGTTTTTTGGTTTTCCTGTCTCTGTTTAGTAATATAGTAGATAGGTGGTACTGAAGTTTAGTAATGATTAGTGGTGTTAGATGGTTTATGGAATCTGGAATTGGTGTGCTGTAATCTGCTGTTTGTTCTGGAAAATGGAAAGGCTGGCTGTGTACTATTTTCTTTGGTGAACTCTCTTTGTTGTCAGCAATTGTGTTGAAAACAATCTTTTACTGTTTGGGCTGTGTGGTTGATTTGTTCTACTTAATTCACTTATCGTTTCACCTCTTTATGTTTGGGTTCTTATTTGTTCGTTGAATTTTAAATTGTCCATGGCAAAGAATGAATGTCTTTTTTTTGGTTATGCTTACGAAGTTGTATATTATGTGAACCTTGAATTGTTGTCCTTTGGAATATGTCTGGTTGCTTGATGCTTTGGTTTTATGGGGCATGTGGATGAATACTTCCTTGCAAGCCTTTTTACATGAATGCTTTCAAAGTGATCAAAGAGATGGCTTTTGAAGCCAATTCTGGGTATTGGTGTCTACCTCTTGCAGGCTGTCAAGCTTATTTAAGTGTAGAGATGAGGCAATCAGCTGCAAAGAAAGTTATTATGGCATTGGAACAGAAGAATTATGGGGATTGTGTTATGTTGTCTAATTTATATGCTGCAGCAGGTATGTTTAGAGAGAACATAAGAATGAGTGGTTTGATCATTGATGAAAGACTAGGTGTTACGAAGCAACCTGCATATTGGAGATTGAGAAAGTAATGTGCATTTTGCGTGGGAGNTTGGTTTTCCTGTCTCTGTTTAGTAATATAGTAGATAGGTGGTACTGAAGTTTAGTAATGATTAGTGGTGTTAGATGGTTTATGGAATCTGGAATTGGTGTGCTGTAATCTGCTGTTTGTTCTGGAAAATGGAAAGGCTGGCTGTGTACTATTTTCTTTGGTGAACTCTCTTTGTTGTCAGCAATTGTGTTGAAAACAATCTTTTACTGTTTGGGCTGTGGTTGATTTGTTCTACTTAATTCACTTATCGTTTCACCTCTTTATGTTTGGGTTCTTATTTGTTTGTTGAATTTTAAATTGTCCATGGCAAAGAATGAATGTTTTTTTTTGGGTTATGCTTACGAAGTTGTATATTATGTGAACCTCGAATTGTTGTCCTTTGGAATATGTCTGGTTGCTTGATGCTTTGGTTTTATGGGGCATGTGGATGAATACTTCCTTGCAAGCCTTTTTACATGAATGCTTTCAAAGTGATCAAAGAGATGGCTTTTGAAGCCAATTCTGGGTATTGGTGTCTACCTCTTGCAGGCTGTCAAGCTTATTTAAGTGTAGAGATGAGGCAATCAGCTGCAAAGAAAGTTATTATGGCATTGGAACAGAAGAATTATGGGGATTGTGTTATGTTGTCTAATTTATATGCTGCAGCAGGTATGTTTAGAGCAAACATAAGAATGAGTGGTTTGATCATTTGATGAAAGACTAGGTGTTACGAAGCAACCTGCATATTGGAGATTGAGAAAGTAATGTGCATTTTGCGTGGGAGATACTTCTCATTCCGATATTGGGGAGATTCATTTGGTGCTCAAGCTGGTGAAGTAACAATTGAAAGCCATGAATGGCATTGCCAAAATGGTTTCTGCGTGAAGCTGTGTTATCTGAACACATCTCCAAGGATGCATATGATTTGACAAAGGAAGGAAAACTGCCGTGGAAGGTCTCTTGTGAGGTTAATGTGCTGGATAGCATGATTTGAGGCATGCCTGTGAATATGTAAGGAGAGATATAAAAAGGATGAATCCACTGTGCCCTTCAATCAAAACGAGAGAGAGAGAAAGAGAGAGAGAGAGAGAGAGAGAGAGAGAGAGATTGAACATCCATGTACTTGACAATTCTTATTTGTGAATCTTTCAGATCTGGGTGGTTGATTTCGTCTTAAAAATAAATGGAAATTGGCTACCAGGGAAACATGTTTCGTGGACAACGAAGATATGTCTGATTTTTCGCAGTATGAGGAAGTGTTATTAAAATTCAGGGCAATTGAAGTGCCAATCATAGTGCAGGGAAGGCAACACATGAATCTCGATGATCTCATTTGGACGACGGGTCAAGGCAGATACCAGGAACATACATAAGCACCTACGAGTGGATGGCAGGTCATTTCTAATGCGTTGTAAAACACATCTCATGGTTTACATTAAACATTTACTAGGTCATTTCTAATATTCAAAGTGAGCTAACTTGAGTGGGTTTGTTTAGGTCAAAGTCTATATTCTCAAATTCATACCAGGTCCAAACCGACCCCAATTTTTAAAGACCAAGCCCACCGTGAAAGGTTGACCCAAGTGGATCAATTTCCATTTGCCAACGTCATATTTGCCGGCCAGAAGACAAGGTCGGACCCGAGATTTTTCGCGTAATACCCGAAATAATAAAGGCCAATTTCGTAAATTCAGCCGAGAATTCCAACAATGTCCGCCAAACAACTGGTCTTTTGTGATTCGAATTACATGACTGTTTCTCTCTCTCTCACCTTTTGCCGTTACGGCAAAGTGCGAAAACCCGCCAACCTCGGACTTTGTCATAAGACTTATAACCGGTAAGTATTAACGACCCCGTATCTGAAAACATTTGTGTTCCTATTTTTGTCCCATTTTTCCTGATTTCCCAAAGATAGAAGATCTACATATCTGAGGAATCACCAGATACACCATGTTACGTTCCAAATCAAGGTACTAAACACACCCTCTTACTCTCTCTCTCTGCTGCATCTAGATTCATGGTATTTTTGTGTCCTAAGATTTTTTTTCTTTACAAATGTTTGCTTTGAAGGGTACAGCTTGTTTCTCGCATATACTGATTGTATGAGCATCAAACATCATTGCCTCCTCTTAAGTTAGGCATTGAATTAACTGTGTGATTTACCTGCTTTGCAGACCTGGGTCCTTCCGTTTGGGACAAAAGAACAATTCATCAGTTCTTACCAGGTCAATTTCTGCATCAAAGTTTTGTAGAGGTGACGCTCTAACATCTCAAGTTGATACTAACGCCCTTGTATCTGTTGATCAAAAGCCCTCAAACGTCGCCAATTTGTCCGAGGTATGGATCCATTCTCATTTTTACTACCTATGGTTTTCATACTTTATTGGGTCGGTTAGAATCTTTATATCGTTTTTGGTAGAAATTGAAAGAATAATACTTCAAAAACCATAAATTTGGCAAAGAGGAATTGACAACTGACAAGATTTATGATACAGTA